AAGCAAGATTTGTGACCTGTTGCCACAAGAAAAGGGCAACCAGTGAAGAACAAACACCATTGTAAATACATTACATTACATTTACGTCATTTAGCAGACGCTCTTATCCAGAGCGACTTACAAATTGGTGCATTCACCTTATAGCCAGTGGGATAACCACTTTATAATATGTATTTTTATTTATTTTTGGGGGGGTGGGGTAAGGGGGGGTAGAAGGATTACTTTATCCTATCTCAGGTATTCCTTAAAGAGGTGGGGTTTCAAATGTCTCCGGAAGGTGGTGAGTGACTCCGCTGTCCTGGCGTCGTGAGGGAGCTTGTTCCACCATTGGGGTGCCAGAGCAGCGAACAGTTTTGACTGGGCTGAGCGGGAACTATGCTTCCGCAGAGGAAGGGGAGCCAGCAGGCCAGAGGTGGATGAACGCAATGCCCTCGTTTGGGTGTAGGGACTGATCAGAGCCTGAAGGTACAGAGGTGCCGTTCCCCTCACAGCTCCATAGGCAAGCACCATGGTCTTGTAACAGATGCGAGCTTCAACTGGAAGCCAGTGGAGTGTGCGGAGGAGCGGGGTGACGTGAGAGAACTTGGGAAGGTTGAACACCAGACGGGCTGCGGCATTCTGGATGAGTTGTAGGGGTTTAATGGCACAGGCAGGGAGCCCAGCCAACAGCGAGTTGCAGTAATCCAGACGGGAGATGACAAGTGCCTGGATTAGGACCTGTGCCGCTTCCTGTGTAAGGCAGGGTCGTACTCTCCGAATGTTGTAGAGCATGAACCTGCAGGATCGGGTCACCGCCTTGATGTTAGCGGAGAATGACAGGGTGTTGTCCAGGGTCACGCCAAGGCTCTTCGCACTCTGGGAGGAGGACACAACGGAGTTGTCAACCGTGATGGCGAGATCATGGAACGGGCAGTCCTTCCCCGGGAGAAAGAGCAGCTCCGTCTTGCCAAGGTTCAGCTTGAGGTGGTGATCCGTCATCCATACTGATATGTCTGCCAGACATGCAGAGATGCGATTCGCCACCTGGTTATCAGAAGGGGGAAAGGAGAAGATTAGTTGTGTATCGTCAGCGTAGCAATGATAGGAGAGGCCATGTGAGGATATGACAGAGCCAAGTGACTTGGTGTATAGGGAGAATAGGAGAGGGCCTAGAACTGAGCCCTGGGGGACACCAGTGGTGAGAGCACGTGGTGCGGAGACAGCTTCTCGCCACGCCACTTGGTAGGAGCGACCGGTCAGGTAGGACGCAATCCAGGAGTGAGCCGCGCCGGAGATGCCCAGCTCGGAGAGGGTGGAGAGGAGGATCTGATGGTTCACAGTATCAAAGGCAGCAGACAGGTCTAGAAGGACAAGAGCAGAGGAGAGAGAGTTAGCTTTAGCAGTGCGGAGAGCCTCCGTGACACAGAGAAGAGCAGTCTCAGTTGAATGACCAGTCCTGAAACCTGACTGGTTTGGATCAAGAAGGTCATTCTGAGAGAGATAGCAAGAGAGTTGGCTAAAGACGGCACGCTCAATAGTTTTGGAAAGAAAAGAAAGAAGGGATACTGGTCTGTAGTTGTTGACATCAGTGGGATCGAGTGTTGGTTTTTTGAGAAGGGGTGCAACTCTCGCTCTCTTGAAGACGGAAGGGACATAGCCAGCGGTCAAGGATGAGTTGATCAGCGAGGTGAGGTAGGGGAGAAGGTCACCGGAGATGGTCTGGAGAAGAGAGGAGGGGATGGGGTCAAGCGGGCAGGTTGTTGGGCGGCCTGCAGTCACAAGTCGCAAGATTTTATCTGGAGAGAGAGGGGAGAAAGAAGTCAAAGCATAGGGTAGGGCAGTGTGAGCAGGACCAGCAGTGTCATTAGACTTAACAAACGAAGATCGGATGTCGTCAACCTTCTTTTCAAAGTGGTTGACGAAGTCATCCACAGAGAGAGAGGAGGGGGGGGGGGGGGGGGGGGGGATTCAGCAGGGAGGAGAATGTGGCAAAGAGCTACAAATATAACCCATATTTATGTTTATACATTTTCCTATTTGTACTTTAACTATTTGCACATTGTTACAACACTGTATATATACATAATATGACATTTGAAATGTCTTTATTCTTTTGGAACTTCTGAGTGTAATGTTTACTGTTAATATTAATTGTTTATTTCACTTTTGATTACTATCTACTTCACTTGCTTTGGCAATGTTAACATACGTTTCCCATGCCAATAAAGGCCTTAAATTGAAATTGAATTGAATTGAGAGAGAGAGAGAGAGAGAGAGAGAGTACATTGAATTGAATTGAGAGAGTCTATCTATGTTTGGAGAGGGGAGGAGGTCTTTACATCAAGATCAAGGAAAGATCAAGGTCAAGACGGGCAGCAGAACCAGGACCATCCAAGGTGTTGCACCAGGAATACATTTGATTGGTCAGCAGCACAGCTTCTTATCTCCCCATTGGCCCACAGCGTAAATTCAGACATTTTAATTGGCCTAAAGCACAGGTCCTTATCACGTGTTAGTGGGTAGAGCGTGGGATCAGAAAGAGAAATAGACTCCTGAAAGAGGAATCTTTAGTAGGGAGGGATATCAGCAGTGAAACAGGTACTGTACCCTCTATCTTTCTTTCTCTCTTCCTATGTTTCCTCACTCTACAGCTCTCAAATATCTCTCATTCAGACAAGGGGGATAATAACAGACTGTTTTAAATGTATACATTTTAAAGTTGTAGATGCAGCCAAGTAGTTGTTACCAAATGTATTTGGTGTGAGTCACTCCCTTCCACCTTGAGAACTACAGACTATTAGTTAAAGTTTCCTTATGCATATTTTATGAGATTTTGCTGATGTAGTCACTATAATTGCAAAATTGACATGACATTGATGGACAGAGCAAGAGCCTTTTGGTGTTGGAATGTAGACTGGTCTAGATGGTCTAGTCTGATGTTCTGAAGAATAGCAGAGCATCAGTTCCTTATATACATTATTAACTGTCATACCTGTCATTAACTGCTTCATGACTCGAGATAATGCATCCTTCTGAGAGCTTACAAAGAAGTAGAATTATGCCTGTTAACTCCATCACCATGTGTTAACACTCCTCTCCGTATGGCTAGTAGCATGAAATTGCTCCCCGACACTGATCTAAGGTCAGTTTTATGTTTCTCCCCTTGATGTTAAACTGATCCTAGATCTGTGGTTTCAGAGCTGGTTATAGTGTAATCCTGGCTTTAAGGCTTTTTATTACCAGTGTGATTCTGACTGATGGAGGCATTTAAACCACCATACAGGCCTGTCATACCAGCTGCTCGCCATTTATGACATAACCGTATCACTGATTCACTGGCGTTTCCTATCAGAGCTGCAGCCCCCTTTCGTGTCCTCCATCTCTGTGTCCATTGCTTTTTCCACCTCTTTCTCTCCATCACTTTCTCATCTCTCGCTTTCTCTCTGTCTCTTACTTATCTCTTTCTTTATAACTCTCTATGTCTCTCCTTCTCTCTCTGTGTGTGTGTCTCTCTCTCTCCTCTCATATCCCCTCCCCCTGTCCTTGTCTTGGCCTGGGTCCTGTCTTGAGAGGCTGTGACCGTTTCGGAATGTCAGAACAGAACACGTGGCCTGTGGTGTTTTGATTCCCGAAAGGGCGGTCATGGCATTAGACCCATCTGGCACTGTTTCTCTCCTCTAGATTTCTATAAATAATCATGTATTTCGGTGCTGACAGCCTCCTCCTCTCAGACTCCTCAGCCACCTACTGTGTTCTGGTCTACTACACTTCACTCAGGGGAAAACAGAGACACAACTTGGAGGTCAATAAAGTTAAATTGACCCAGAGACCTTGTGTTCAGACGCTGAGATGCATGTTGGCTTCCTTGATATGGATTGTAGAGTAGAGTGGGTGCATTGTCAGCTTTGCAGCTAACTGACGATCTGGCGATCAAACAGAATTGTGCTCTTCCTCCGAGTCAATACTGTATTCTTAATGAAGAACAATCACATGGAACTTTGTCAACTGACGACTGCAGATAATGTGTAATAGGTGTGTAGAATGATTATTGAGACAGGAAGTCAATCCCTGCTTCTGTTTCAGCTCTGACAGGGATTAGTGACTAGACCTCTACAGACCTATATAGACCTCTCTATTTTAAGACAGCTCTCTCTCTCTTTCTCTCCCTCTTTCCCTTTCTCTCTGTCTCTCTCGCTCTCTCTTTTTCTCTCTCTCTCTCTCGCTCTCGCTTTCTCTCCAGAAGTGAAGGACAAGTCGGTGAGAATGACCTTTCACCTTTAGATTTTAGTCACAGGACATGTGGAAATGAATACCTTGCTCAGGGGCTAAACTAAAGTTTGTTTTATCTTGGTGACCTAAGATCAGTGTATAGAGGCAACTTCATCCTACCTACTCCCCCTTGATGGTGGTGGCCATTTTGCATCAGCCATTTTGGGATAGTTAAGAGGCCATCCTGTGAGGCCAGATCAGGAGACTGAGCTTAATAAGCCATCTGCTGAGACTCCCCTCTCATACTGTAAGCTTGTTATCAACGACCTACATCTACTTTATCAGATGTAGAAACATTTTTAAAAAATGTACTTCATACGATACAATTGAATACAGTACAATCAACAAACATGAAGCACATTGTAACTCAACTGAGGACATGTAGTATGTTTGAGCTGCAGCATCCACAGTCTGTATTTGATGGACAAAATGTAGTGGTCAAAGGGTTAACAGCTTGACCGTCTGACTCTGCATCGAGAAGCTGGCTAAAACAGAAAAAAACTGTCAGACAGGCCAACGGGTTAAAGGAAGGAAGTGTATTGTTCTTAAGAAGCGGAGGTTCTTCCCACAGCTTACCACAGTTATACATACACAACAAGAAACTAATGCATAAATAAACACATATTTAAGAACTTTTAAGAAGTAGAGCCTTTGAAATGTGTAACTTCTATCTTCTCTCTTTCTCTCTTCTTCCCACTTCCTCTCTCTCTCCCACCCCAAGTTGACCTGATCTAACCTTTGAACTGTCCAAGATGGCGTCCTCCTTCACTAGAATGATGTCTGGCCGTAACACGGCCATGCTGTTGGCTAGCCTGGGAGCAGGCACCATGGCAACCTGCTACCTGATGACCGACAGCAACATCCTGTCCGCTGAGGAGAGGAGGAAGCTCTACCCACCCAGGTAGAACTACAAAACAACATGGCCTCTAATGGACTGTGGACTACAAATAGCTTGTCCGTATACAGACGACCTACAGAGGTTGGAGAAATAATTTGGAGTACAGGAGTTGGGCCTGGGATAGCTGCACCTGTTGAATAGGAAAAAACCTGAATCTTACACCCAGTGTGCAGTCAGTCTGAAATGTAAGTCAAAGGTAGAGGGGTGGGGCAAGGAATTAAACCTAAGAGGTTTAGTAGATACAAGTTTAGTAGATACAAGTTTAGTAGATACCTCCTCTGCCCTTTCTTACATTCACATATAGTACACCCCCCCCCCCCCCTTCCCCCCACCCACCCACCCACCCAAGAGACCAGATCAGGAACTAAGCCTTGAGCCACAGATTAGACAGATCACCAACACTCTAAAATAACTTCCTCTACTTGTCTCAATCAATCAAGCGACCACAGTCAATCAATCAATATGTACCTGTCCAAAAAGAATGCATCCACATCACATCCAAAACAGCAGTCTATAAGCTGTCCTCTTGGCCAGGACTGTGTCCATAATTACACCCTATTTGAAATGTAATTTATAGTGCACAGCTTTTGATCTATTCATCTCTATGGTTTGAATGAAAACTACTTCTCCCATCATCCCCAGCGCTGACTTCCCTGACCTGAGGAGGCACAACAACTGCATGGCGCATGCCCTGACCCCTGCTATCTACGGCAAGCTGAGAGACCAGGTGACCCCTAACAACTGGACCCTGGACCAGTGCATCCAGACCGGAGTGGACAACCCTGGCCACCCCTTCATCAAAACTGTCGGCATGGTGGCTGGGGATGAGGAGAGCTACAAGGTACATGTGGGAGGGTGTGTATGTCTTTCTATCTATCTGAAGGAGGTCTGTTAACAGTCCATCCTGTACTCTCCAGGTGTTCGCCGACCTCTTTGACCCCGTCATTAAAGACAGACACAATGGCTACGACCCCAAGACAATGAAACACCCCACTGATCTGGACGCATCCAAAGTAACTCTCACACACACATACACACACACAGTATAGTTCATCATTCTCAGATGTATTAACAATAACTGTCCCTCTCCCTCCTCAGATCACTAACGGTATGTTTGATGAGAAATACGTTCTGTCGTCTCGCGTGCGTACTGGCCGTAGTATCCGCGGTCTGAGCCTGCCCCCCTGCTGCTCCCGCTCGGAGCGCCGTGAGGTGGAGCGTGTTACCGTGCAGGCCCTGGCCGGCCTGAAGGGTGACCTGGCTGGACGCTACTACAGCCTGGGAGACATGACCGAGAAGGAGCAGCAGCAGCTTATTGATGTGAGACACTCACAGAGGACTGCTATCTATCTATCTATCTATCTATCTACATTTACATTTACATTTACGTCATTTAGCAGACACTCTTATCCAGAGCGACTTACAAATTGGTGCATTCACCTTATAGCCAGTGGGATAACCACTTTACAATATGTATTTTTATTTATTTTTGGGGGGTGGGGTAAGGGGGGGTAGAAGGATTACTTTATCCTATCCCAGGTATTCCTTAAAGAGGTGGGGTTTCAAATGTCTCCGGAAGGTTGTGAGTGACTCCGCTGTCCTGGCATCGTGAGGGAGCTTGTTCCACCATTGGGGTGCCAGAGCAGCGAACAGTTTTGACTGGGCTGAGCGGGAACTGTGCTTCCGCAGAGGTAGGGGGGCCAGCAGGCCAGAGGTGGATGAACGCAATGCCCTCGTTTGGGTGTAGGGACTGATCAGAGCCTGAAGGTACGGAGGTGCCGTTCCCCTCACAGCTCCGTAGGCAAGCACCATGGTCTTGTAGCAGATGCAAGCTTCAACTGGAAGCCAGTGGAGTGTGTGGAGGAGCGGGGTGACGTGAGAGAACTTGGGAAGGTTGAACACCAGACGGGGTGCGTCATTCTGGATGAGTTGTAGGGGTTTAATGGCACAGGCAGGGAGCCCAGCCAACAGCGAGTTGCAGTAATCCAGACGGGAGATGACAAGTGCCTGGATTAGGACTTGTGCCGCTTCCTGTGTAAGGCAGGGTCGTACTCTCCGAATGTTGTAGAGCATGAACCTACAGGATCGGGTCACCGCCTTGATGTTAGCGGAGAACGACAGGGTGTTGTCCAGGGTCACGCCAAGGCTCTTCGCACTCTGGGAGGAGGACACAACAGAGTTGTCAACCGTGATGGCGAGATCATGGAACGGGCAGTCCTTCCCCGGGAGGAAGAGCAGCTCCGTCTTGCCGAGGTTCAGCTTGAGGTGGTGATCCGTCATCCACACTGATATGTCTGCCAGACATGGAGAGATGCAATTCGCCACCTGGTTATCAGAAGGGGAAAGGAGAAGATTAGTTGTGTGTTGTCTGCGTAGCAATGATAGGAGAGGCCATGTGAGGATATGACAGAGCCAAGTGACTTGGTGTATAGCGAGAATAGGAGAGGGCCTAGAACTGAGCCCTGGGGGACACCAGTGGTGAGAGCACGTGGTGCGGAGACAGATTCTCGCCACGCCACTTGGTAGGAGCGACCGGTCAGGTAGGACGCAATCCAAGAGTGAACCGCGCCGGAGATGCCCAGCTCGGAGAGGGTGGAGAGGAGGATCTGATGGTTCACAGTATCAAAGGCAGCAGACAGGTCTAGAAGGACAAGAGCAGAGGAGAGAGAGTTAGCTTTAGCAGTGTGGAGAGCCTCCGTGACACAGAGAAGAGCAGTCTGCTCAAGACCAGTCTTGAAACCTGACTGGTTTGGATCAAGAAGGTCATTCTGAGAGAGATAGCAAGAGAGTTGGCTAAAGACGGCACGCTCAAGAGTTTTGGAGAGAAAAGAAAGAAGGGATACTGGTCTGTAGTTGTTGACATCAGAGGGATCGAGTGTTGGTTTTTTGAGAAGGGGTGCAACTCTCGCTCTCTTGAAGACGGAAGGGACATAGCCAGCGGTCAAGGATGAGTTGATGAGCGAGGTGAGGTAAGGGAGAAGGTCACCGGAGATGGTCTGGAGAAGAGAGGAGGGGATAGGGTCAAGCGGGCAGGTTGTTGGGCGGCCGGCCGTCACAAGTCGCAAGATTTTATCTGGAGAGAGATATCTATCTACAGTGCCCTCCACAATTATTGGCACCCCTGTTTAAGATGTGGTCGAGGACTTCCAAAAATTCTCCTTTTTTTTTTAACAACATAGAACCCAAATGCAAAAAAAGAGAAAAATCCAACCTTTTATTTAAGTACATTACTTTGGTGTAAAAAAAAAAATCACACATTTAGAAAAAAAAAAACTTGAAATCATGTGTCCCACAATTATTGGCACCCCTAATGTTAATACTTTGTACAACCCCCTTTTGCCAACAAGACAGCACTTAATCTCCTCCTATAACATTTCACAAGATTGGAGAACACAGAGAGAGGGATCTTTGACCATTCTTCTTTGCACAATCTTTCTAGATCATCCAGTGTCCTGGGTCCTCTCTTATGCACTCTCCTCTTTAGCTCGCCCCACAGGTTTTCGATTGGGTTGAGGTCTGGGGACTGAGATGGCCATGGGAGGACCTTGAGTTTGTGACTGCTGAACCATTTTTGTGTAGATTTTGCCACATGTTTTGGATCATTATCCTGCTGAAAGACCCAATGACGACCCATGTTCAGCTTTCTGGCAGAGGCCATCAGGTTTTTATTTAAAATGTCCTGGTAGTTCAAAGCGTTCATAATGTCATCCACCCTAACAAGGTTCCCAGGGCCTTTGGAAGAGAAACAGGCCCACAGCATCACAGATCCTCCACCATACTTCACGGTGGGCATGAGGTGCTTTTCGGCATACTCATCTTTTGTTTTACGCCTGACCCACTTAGAGTGTTTGTTGCCAAAAAGCTCAATCTTAGTCTCATCTGACCAAAGCACACGATCCCAGTTGAAGTCCCAGTGCCGCTTAGCAAACTCCAGACGTTTACGTTTGTGAGTGTTAGTGAGAAAAGGCTTTTTCCTTGCATGCCTCCCAAACAGCTTGTTGGCATGTAGAGAGTGTCTGATGGTTGTTTTGGAGACTTTGTGACCCCAAGATGCCACTCTTTGATGCAATTCTGTGACAGTGAGCTTAGGACTTTTTTTTACTTCTCTTACCATCCTCCTCACTGTGCGTTGTGGCAAGATAAACTTGGGACCTCTTCCAGCCTTGTTTGTCACTGTTCCAGTTGTTTTAAACTTCTTAATGATTCCTCTGACTGTAGATACGGGCAAGTTAAGGCGAGTGGCTATTTTCTTGTAGCCATTGCCTGACTTATGAAGGTCGACACAAATCTGCCTTACTTGAATGGTGTGTTCTCTTGTCTTTGCCATGTTGACAAATGGGTAAGAGAATTAGGCCTCTGTGTCACGTCATATTTATACCCCAGGGAAACAGGAAGTCATGAATTACTAATTAAAAGTTCCTAGATACCCTGACCAACTTTAGCAACTACAGAAAAATATATTTAAAAAAAAATCAATTAAAATTTTCAGCGGAATTGTTAGGGGTGCCAATAATTGTGGGACATATGATTTCAAGTTTTTTTTTTTCAAAATGTGTGATTTTTTTTTACCACCAAAGTAATGTACTTAAATAAAAGGTTGGATTTTTCTCTTTTTTTGCATTTGGGTTCTATGTTGTTTTTAAAAAAATGAGAATTTTTGGAAGTCCTCGACCACATCTTAAACAGGGGTGCCAATAATAGTGGAGGGCACTGTATCTATCTATCTATCTATCTATCTATCTATCTATCTATCTATCTATCTATCTATCTATCTATCTATCTATCTATCTATCTATCTATCTATCTATCTATCTATCTATCTATCTATCTATCTATCTATCTATCTATCTATCTATCTATCTATCTATCTATCTATCTATCTATCTATCTATCTATCTATCTATCTGTCTGTCTGTCTGTCTGTCTGTCTGTCTGTCTGTCTGTCTGTCTGTCTGTCTGTCTGTCTGTCTGTCTGTCTGTCTGTCTGTCTGTCTGTCTGTCTGTCTGTCTGTCTATCTATCTATCTATCTATCTATGTCTATCTATCTATGTCTATCTGTCTGTCAATCTCTCTGTACCCCCCTCTCCTTTCCCATTTGTCTCTCTCTGTATCCAAAACGCACATAACTACATGTTTTTTTGTAATCTGACTACATACAGGATTCCTCTTATCCATGATATTGTCTATTTGTATTACCATGTTAATGGCAGGTATTGTTGTGAAGATTGAAACAGTGCAACTGGAACCTGAACTGTAGTAACAGCATTGTCACATCAGTTTTATTTGACCTGACTCATCTGAAGACATGGTTCTCGATTGCACTAATTTATCTTAATTCCCCATTGGTAGGCCAACCAATTATTTCAGGAAAGTTTAGCAGAGTTTTAGTTACCAAGTTAATCCACTCAGTCTGACACATTGGGATGACATCATATTGCTTTTAATCCTAACGGCTACAATGTGGAATAGAAATATAGGTAATCTTTTGTGGCCAGCCCACAGATGGCTGTTGGGATTTGGGAGAGACTAGTGTTGACCTTCAACCCTCAGTCTCATTGACCTTTGCCCTCTCACCCTCACGTTGCCTCAGGAGCACTTCCTGTTCGACAAGCCCGTCTCTCCTCTGCTGACATCTGCCTTCATGGCCCGTGACTGGCCTGATGCCAGGGGCATCTGGTAAGACCAGAGCAGTAGAGAGCCGAACCCTGTCCCCAAAACTACAGTACCTGTAGAGGCCTAGTACTATCAATCTGGTAAGGCCAGAGCAGTAGAGACCCAAACCCTGTCCCTGTAGATTTAAAAGCCATTAAGACTATCTTGTATTATAATAGCTGTAGAGATAGTACTGTATCTGAATAGGGTAATCTGGTGAGACCAAAGGAGTAGAGAGCAGAACTATGCTCCCATAACATTATGGGTATTTGGGGAAGGTCTCTTCCTCTCACTCCTCTTCCTCCTCCCCAAAGTATAATTACCTCTATGCAGTTGTAGCCCTGTCTTCCCCTTTCCTTGACCACTACCTTCTCCTCCTCCACCTCCTCCCTCCTCTCCCTCCTCTTCTCCGTAGGACCACTTCCTGTTTGACAAGCCTGTCTCCCCCTTGTTGACGTGTGCCTTCATGGCCCGTGATTGGCCTGATGCCAGGGGCCTCTGGTAGGGTCTACAAGGCTCTTACTAGCAGAAGCCTCTAACCAGCATGTGTGTGCTGTGATCATAGACATTGATATAATCAGTGCAATCAACAAATGTTTCTGGATTCTTAGGAATGTGTTCTTTCTTCCAGGCACAACAATGAGAAGACCTTCCTGATCTGGGTCAATGAGGAGGACCACACTAGGGTCATCTCCATGGAGAAGGGAGGAAACATGAAAAGAGTGTTTGAGAGGTTCTGCAGAGGACTCCAACAGGTACTTTACATGTTACATCTTAGTGATTTAGTGATGCTCGTCTCCACTCAACCTAAAAGGCAGTTCTGCATTTTTGCATGAGTGTACATGCTTGCAAAATGGACATACAGTTGAAGTCAGAAGTTTACATACACTTAAGTTGGAGTCATTAAAACTAGTTTTTCAACCACTCCACACATTTCTTGTTAACAAACTATAGTTTTGGCAAGTCGGTTAGGACTACTTTGTGCATGACACAAGTAATTTTTCCAACAATTGTTTACAGACATATTATTTCACTTATAATTCACTGTATCACAATTCCAGTGGGTCAGAAGTTTACATACACTAAGTTGACTGTGCCTTTAAACAGCTTGGAAATTCCAGAAAAGGATGTCATGGCTTTAGAAGCTTCTGATAGGCTAATTGACATAATTTGAGTCAATTGGAGGTGTACCTGTGGATGTATTTCAAGGCCTACCTTCAAACTCAGTGCCTCTTTGCATGACATCATGGGAAAATCCAAAGAAATCAGCCAAGACCTCAGAAAAAGAATTGTAGACCTCCACAAGTCTGGTTCATCCTTGGGAGGAATTTCCAAACGCCTGAAGGTACCACGTTCATCTGTACAAACAATAGTACGCAAGCATAAACACCATGGGACCACGCAGCCGTCATACCGCTCAGGAAAGAGACGCGTTCTGTCTCCTAGAGATGAACGTACTTTGGTGCGAAAAGTGCAAATCAATCCCTGAACAACAGCAAAGGACCTTGTGAAGATGCTGGAGGAAATAGGTACAAAAGTATCTATATCCACAGTAAAACGAGTTCTATATCGACATAACCTGAAAGGCTGCTCAGCAAGGGAGAAGCCACTGCTCCAAAACCGCCATAAAAAAGCCAGACTACGGTTTGCAACTGCACATGGGGACAAAGATCGTACTTTTTGGAGAAATGTCCTCTGGTCTGATGAAACAAAAATAGAACTGTTTGGCCATAATGACCATCGTTATGTTTGGAGGAAAAAGGGGGCCCTTGCAAGCCGAGGAACACCATCCCAACCGTGAAGAACGGGGGTGGCAGCATCATGCTGTGGGGTTGCTTTGCTGCAGGAGGGACTGGTGCACTTCACAAAATAGATGGCATCATGAGGAAGGAAAATGATGTGGCTATATTGAAGCAACATCTTAAGACATCAGTCAGGATGTTAAAGCTTGGTCGCAAATGGGTCTTCCAAATGGACAACGACCCCAAGCATACTTCCAAAATTGTGGCAAAATGGCTTAAGGACAACAAAGTCAAGGTATTGGAGTGGCCATCACAAAGCCCTGACCTCAATCCTATAGAACATTTGTGGGCAGAACTGAAAAAGCGTGTGTGAGCAAGGTGGCCTACAAACCTGACTCAGTTACACCATCTCTGTCAGGAGGAATGGGCCAAAATTCACCCAACTTATTGTGGGAAGCTTGTGGAAGGCTACCCGAAACGTTTGACCCAAGTTAAACAATTTAAAGGCAATGCTACCAAATACTAATTGAGTGTATGTAAACTTCTGACCCACTGGGAATGTGATGAAAGAAATAAAAGCTTAAATAAATCATTCTCTCTACTATTATTCTGACATTTCACATTCTTAAAATAAAGTGGTGATCCTAACTGACCTAAGACAGGGAATTTTTACTAGGATGAAATGTCAGGAATTGTGAAAAACTGAGTTTAAATGTATTTGGCTAAGGTGTATGTAAGCTTCCGACTTCAACTGTATACAGCATATTATAAGTGTCCTTCCATCCACTAGGTGGAGAAGCTGATCCAGGAGAGAGGCTGGGAGTTCATGTGGAACGAGCACCTGGGTTACATCCTGACCTGCCCCTCCAACCTGGGCACTGGACTCAGGGCTGGAGTACACGTCAGACTGCCCAAACTCAGCAAGGTACACACACAATCGCTCTCTCTCTCTTGCCTAATGTTTTTACTTGAATTGTCCCTGTGTATTGACACCTCCTTCCCAAGACAGAGCATTGATTAAAGTTCTGTACTTACCCTGCAGGACCCCCGCTTCGGTAAGATCCTGGACAACATGCGTCTGCAGAAGAGAGGGACAGGCGGAGTCGACTCGGCCACAACTGGAGACACCTTCGACATCTCCAACAACGACCGTCTGGGAAAATCAGAGGTAAAACTAAAACTGCTATTCTATGAATGAATGACTGAAACTAACTCTCAAACTAACTCTATCTGGACCTCACCTTGACTGCTAATAACTATGTATCTGTGTGTGTGTATAGGTGGAGCTGGTTCAGTTGCTGGTTGATGGAGTCAACTATCTGATCGACTGTGAGAAGAGGCTGGAAAGGGGCCAGGACATCAAGGTCCCCTCCCCCATCGCCCAGTTCAGGAAGTAAAACACCTGAGCCCCACCTCTGAGAGGAAGTGACCTGCTCTGCGGTTAGAGAAAGCAAGAAGTGAGGCGCCAGGGGGGAGGAGCTAGGCCTGATCCCTCCACTCGTGCCCAAACTGAGCTGTTTGGAGTAAAGTAGAAGTAGAATGTCTTTCCACTAGTCCAGGTACAGGTGTTGGTGTATTCCCCTTATGGTTAAGGCTGGGTTGGGGTTATCATAATCTGATCCTAGATTAGTGATTAGGAGCAACTTCTACCAGGAGTGAAAGTCTTACCTGTAACACTAACCTCAATAAAAATCAACCTTGATAAAACCACTGATCTCTGATCAACAAAATGACTCATTCTTTGACTCTGCTCGCTTTCCAAGGCGATATTACAGCTTGTGTCTTTCTCCTCCCACTAATTTCACAACCTCACTAAGAGTTTAAATACCTTTGCAATTAACAACTAACTTGGATTTCCATAACATTCACATAAATGTCATTGGACATGTGTAATGACTATGCAATAGATGCATCACTTACTGTGAAGTTGACTGTATATAGTTGTGTTATAGGTGGAAGTCTGGCGTTAGGTGTAAGTCACTCTGGATAAATGCTAAATACTAAATATGTACAGTTCCAGTCGCTCCAGTGTATCTCTGTCTCCCAGCAGCTGATCTGCCATAGTAGGTTTACTGCAGTAACAGAGTTTAACACTGAGTTAAGCACTTTTAGAGGTCAGTGAGAGGTACAGAGAGAAGCATGGCAGAAGCCCAATTCCATCAACGGAAAACTACCAGTATAATTCACACAGATGTCTCTTATTTAACCTTTATTCATCCAGGTTATTCTCAATGAGATAAAATACAAATCCCAACATTGTCGTGGATTTGGAAGTAAGCACTGAGGGCTCTGACTCCCAGACTAGAATGGAGGCATCCTCAGCACCAAAACGTCTGTCTGTCTTAATGGGTTGATTCCGTCAGTCTGTCTAGTCCCTGGGAGGGTAATTGGCCTACTTGGAGCAGCTTAGTGACGTGGAGCTAATCAGCTAATCGCTGCCTGCTGTTCTTACACACCAAAGAGGGTTAGTGGGAGCAGGGCCAGGGGACCATAGAAACAGAGGGCATAAAGTGTACATATTTATTGCATGTTGGAAAGACCAGAGGGCCTGCTGGACATAACGTGACTGAGAGGGCACGGGCCAGTGGGTTTGTGTAGGTGTGAGAGGGTCTGTGTCAGAGAGGAAACTTAATCTGGACTGTGTATTTTTAGCAGTGGTCTACGTGCTGACCACTAGTCTTCCGTCTAATGCCAAAAAGGAGACAGAAGTTTGAGAGAGGAGGGTTGTAGGTTTGTCTCATGGGAGATTTGGTATAATTCTGACGAGCAACAGTTTAGGCTACATGCAACGTCACATCTTCATTTCTAGGCCTGCCTACCCCACTATGTTCTGCTCATGTTCAGTATAGCTACATGACATTGTCACCTGGGATCTAGATTACCCAATGAAAATAAATCCCATTAATAATATCAGAACAGCCATTAAGCTCTACTAACACTTTAATTTCCCTTTGGACAATTCACATAACCCACCCAATGGTTAAATTATGTAAGATTACATCAGTATAACAGTGGGGTGCTGTCTGTAATAAAGTGCAACAACCAGTTACCTCACTGACGCTCCAACTCCTATTGGCCTATTAGAGAGGTGTAGAGGACCATGGGAAACTGAGTCCATACTGCAGAGACAAATCCAATACAACAGAGTTTATACATGTTCGAGGTAATGGGTCTCAGCAAGGCCCTGTGCAGAATCCCTGATCTACAAATAATTTTGCATCTCAACTATCAGCTCACTATGTGATCAAGATTAGTGCAGTGCTTTGCTCAGGCCGATCTCCTTGGACACACTGATTATTTATAATTTAATGGTAGACTTACATATTTATATATGGGTAGAGACCATATACCGTCTATGGTAGAGACTGCCCACAGGCCACAGCATAAGACCCACAGAGACCTTTGAATACGGAGTTCCATTTCTATTGTAGAGAAGTATTGTCCTCTAGTGGTGAAAAGTGACTGGTCTCATTACGGTACTGTATGCATTTCATTGGCACCGAGTCCTAACCAATACATTATTGGTCTTAACCAATGATGTAAATAAAGCAGTGATGTACAGTGGGGAAAAAAAGTATTTAGTCAGCCACCAATTGTGCAAGTTCTCCCACTTAAAAAGATGAGAGAGGCCTGTAATTTTCATCATAGGTACACGTCAACTATGACAGACAAAATGAGAAAAAATATTCCAGAAAATCACATTGTAGGATTTTTAATTAATTTATTTGCAAATTATGGTGGAAAATAAGTATTTGGTCAATATCAAAAGTTTCTCAATACTTTGTTATATACCCTTTGCTGGCAATGACACAGGTCAAACGTTTTCTGTAAGTCTTCACAAGGTTTTCACACACTGTTGCTGGTATTTTGGCCCATTCCTCCATGCAGATCTCCTCTAGAGCAGTGATGTTTTGGGGCTGTCGCTGGGCAACACGGACTTTCAACTTCCTCCAAAGATTTTCTATGGGGTTGAGATCTGGAGACTCCAGGACCTTGAAATGCTTCTTACGAAGCCACTCCTTCGTTGCCCGGGTGGTGTGTTTGGGATCATTGTCATGCTGAAAGACCCAGCCACGTTTCATCTTCAATGCCCTTGCTGATGGAAGGAGGTTTTCACTCAAAATCTCACGATACATGGCCCCATTCATTTTTCCTTTACACGGATCAGTCGTCCTGGTCCCTTTGCAGAAAAACAGCCCCAAAGTATGATGTTTTCACTCCCATGCTTCACAGTAGGTATGGTGTTCTTTGGATGCAACTCAGCATTCTTTGTCCTCCAAACACGACAAGTTGAGTTTTTACCAAAAAGTTATATTTTGGTTTCATCTGACCATATGACTTTCTCCCAATCCTCTTCTGGATGCACTCTAGCAAACTTCAGACGGGCCTGGACATGTACTGGCTTAAGCAGGGGGACACGTCTATCACTGCAGGATTTGAGTCCCTGGCGGCGTAGTGTGTTACTGATGGTAGGCTTTGTTACTTTGGTCCCAGCTCTCTGCAGGTCATTCACTAGGTCCCCCCGTGTGGTTCTGGGATTTTTGCTCACCGTTCTTGTGATCATTTTGACCCCACGGGTGAGATCTTGCGTGGAGCCCCAGATCGAGGGAGATTATCAGTGGTCTTGTATGTCTTCCATTTCCTAATAATTGCTCCCACAGTTGATTTCTTCAAACCAATCTGCTTACCTATTGCAGATTCAGTCTTCCCAGCCTGGTGCAGGTCTACAATTTTGTTTCTGGTGTCCTTTGACAGCTCTTTGGTCTTGGCCATAGTGGAGTTTGGAGTGTGACTGTTTGAGGTTGTGGACAGGTTTCTTTTATACTGATAACAAGTTCAAACAGGTGCCATTAATACAGGTAACGAGTGGAGGACAGAGGAGCCTCTTAAAGAAGAAGTTACTGGTCTGTGAGAGCCAGAAATCTTGCTTGTTTGTAGGTGACCAAATACTTATTTTCCACCATAATTTGCAAATAAATTCATAAAAAATCCTACAATGTGATTTTCTGGATTTTATTTTCTCAATTTGTCTGTCATAGTTGACGTGTACCTATGATGAAAATTACAGGCCTCTCTCATCTTTTTAAGTGGGAGAACTTGCACAATTGGTGGCTGACTAAATACTTTTTTTCCCCACTGTATATAAACCCTGGATTGCTGATGCTATGTATTGGCCACTGAGAGGCTTTGAAGCCACATATTGCCGCTCCCCAGTAGGAGCAGACCTCCATCAGAATAAATGGAATTCTACAGTATTTCAATGAAATGTTTCAAGGACAAAATTACATGTATTGAAGGGTTGTTGTTGGGGGGGGGGGGGGGGGGGGGCGTAACATTAGTAATCTAAAAAAAAGTATATTTTAATGAAAAACATTTCATACATATGTTCAGCTCACAAAACACTTAAAAGTATGCATTAAGTTGTCTGTAATAGAATAAAGGTGGCAAAAAACGAATGTAGACATTAACAAATGCATTGCTATAGCTTCCAAAATATTTTCCACAATAGTGGGAGTGCCAAGATGGAGGCACGGTGGCTATCAGTCATCTACTGTATATATAAATAATTGGTCCTAACCCTTCAGTGTTTACAGATCCCAATGGACTGGATAGGTAACTGCATCCTGCCTCTAAGTGGTTACTGGTTAACTTACATTTACAATTACATAAATTGATAACTAAAAGTAGTAATCAAATGTTTGGGTTCAATGTCATTTAGTCCCACATGGCAGCTGTTGTTCTATTGGTACTGGTCTGGTAGTTGTTGCTGATGCATGTCTAAATGACATACATTTCTGCAATCATCATTCACAAATCATTTTTTATGCCAAATAACTACTCATTACGTTTTTAAGATTAGTGAATTTGTGCAGTGCCTTGCTAGGGCTGATCTCCTTGATGCCCATAATTTTTTAGAGGGGTTACCACTATCCTCCCAGTCACAGTGCAAGACTGATGAGCAGTTTCCATGGGAACGAGATGTGATAAATGTTCTTTCTTGAATGAGGGTTCTGACTAGAGGGAGTACAGCTACGACAGTAAGTGACTTTTCGTAGCAGGTTAGGAGAGCATTTTAGCTAACCCTAACCCATTTTTTTCACCTTACCCCAAGTCTCCTAACCTGCTACGAAAAAGTCACTTCTGGTCATAGCTGTACTCCATCTAGTCAGAACCTTGAAAGAGGCCAGTGGGCAACGGCATGAAGAGTGGTACCTCCTGTCACATGGTCAAACCATCTGCTAAATGACAAAAATATACAATATATGAACAAAACATTTCATGATAATCATTCAAAGATATAAAATCAAGTTAAGTCACACAAACTTTTTTTTTCTTCCCTTTTATAACATCTGGAACATTGAATTGGTGACAAACTGAAGTTTTACGGTAAACTTAAAAGCTAGTTCCACAGAGTAAAGTGCAACATAAGCAAAAAATAATATAAAATAAACATTTCGCCACACACCTGAACCTTGATGCTTTAAGTGTTTTTATCATTTCGTTGCTTTTGAGGTTGATTTTTTCTGTTACATATTTTAGTGAGAGGAAGGAGTGAGATGAAAAGGGTTAACAATCAGACGACAAGTTGAGCATTTACCAAATAGTTTTCAAAACAGTTGATAATCTTTATACAGAGGTCTGCACCAACAATCAATACACTTCTGTGTACAAATCATGAACAAATTGAGCATAACATTTGTATCTATATCTTTCTTTCCGTTGTATTTTTTTTTGTTCCCTCTTTATCAAGTTGCTCTCTTGGGCCCAATTCCAGCATTTTTATCATTTAAGAAATCAGTAGAAAGTTAGTAACAGCCACAAGCTGACACCCAGAGTTGACCGACCTGCCTGATTCACGACACAGTCCTGTTGCCAGGGAGAAGTGGAGCTGAGATATATCGCCCCAGGAGGAGAGGGGGCTAGAAGGATGTGTGTACATGTGTGGGGGCATTTTCAGGAGATTGGGTAAGAGCAGAGAGGGGTTTAGGTGGGTCTTGGTAGGGGGGAGAGAGGGGGAAGTAGAGAGAGGAGGCCGGGTGGGGGGATTAGGAAGAGGGAGTCACACGTTTGCGTTCTCAGTCCACAGGTCGTTTTTCTCCATGTTTCTTTGTAAACTCTTCTGCGTTCTTAAAGAATTTTTTACGGTCCTTAGAGTATTCCTCTGCTAGGTCTGCCCTGAGAGGATGCTCTGGCTGGGGGTCGTTGACCAGCGCAATCAGGGACTGGATCACTGCAGGGAGACAAACAGAACAAAAGAGGAGACTGTAAGAATGATGTAAAAATGGAGGATGACATCAGGTAGTCCAGATGGAAAAGACACATTGAAATCCATAACTAGGTAGAGGTCGCAGGATGGAAACCTCTCCAGCCAAGTAGGAGCCTCTGAGGTAGAGGAGACTGCTAGAGGGTTAGTGTTCAGGCAGCATTTCAATGAGAAATTACAAAAAACTGCAATAGTAACTATTACTTAAAAAGATATGTCAGAGAAGAAACCACTGTCTATTGCCTTTGTCTGTCTGAGTGTGCATGCGTCTTTCCGCCATACCTTGGTCAGTTTTAGTGGCTGGTTTCCAGTTCTCTGCGCTGATCACAGGCAGACACACCTGTCCCTTCTCGTCGATGTTGGGGTGGTAGATCTTGGTCTTGAACGTGATCTTGGGGGGCTTGAAGGGGTACTCCGCTGGGAAGATGATCTCGATTCTGAAAGCACCTTTATCGTATGGAGGGTTGTCCTTTTAGAGGGGAGAGAGACAATGACGTTTGGTTAAAAGGTGAGCTGATGTCCTACTGAACATGCCACAGCAACAAAGAAATTGCAATATCGAGGAGAGTGCCTTGGTCCTCCTTGTTATTCTGCTCATGTTCATGTCTGTCCGGAGACAACAGTAGTTAATATTGACTTACTGGAACAATGAGGCCTTGCCAAGTCAAAATATTTGATTCATCCACTTGAATGTTACGGAAATTTTTCATTCCAGACTTCCGGATTTCATCAAGTTCCTGAAAAAGAGGGTGAATACATAATGAGCAAGTTCTCCTGTACAATTAGTTAATGTTAGTTCATCATAAACATAACCATTACAGGAAGCAGAAATGTTTATATCTAACAAGAGATAAAGGACTGATAAAACATGTTCCTGTGTTGGCTGAGTCCTAGTAACCATTAAACAAGCTGAGTCCTAGTAACCATTAAACAAGCTGTGTCCTATAGGCCAAAAACAATCGAATGACTACAGACACAAGTAAACACACGGGGCAAAATACAGAACTAGACACACGGGGTGGAAGGTAGCCTAGCGGTTAGAGCGTTGGGCCAGTAACCAAAAGGTCGCTGGTTCGAATACCAGAGCCGACAAGGTACAAGATCTATCTATGTACTCTTGAGCAAGGCACTTAACCCTAATTTGCTCCAGGGGCGCTGTACTACTATTGCAGACCCTGTAAAACAACCCATTTCATTGCACATTTCACTGTGGGGAAAAAAAATACAAATAAAAGACTGGATGACTACAGGTACTAGGGATTAACCTATATGTTAATGTATCAACTGTCTGAGTCTCAACCCTGGAACCAAGCAGCCACACCCCTTCTCAACCAGGAAGTGCTCCAGTGCATTCTCACTGATCTCACAACAGAACACTGCTTTCTGCCAAACCAGAGGACTGACTCAAATCACAGGGCTGGTAATCTTTCTACAAATCATGAGATTTGGGGTTTTGTTATAGTGACAAGGACCTTACAGTTAACACACCCATAAGAATAAAACATGGGCACACAGCTTCCTGGTTTCATTTCTTATCAAATCAGCGCTTGAATGTAGCCTTATTCTATGTTGCTCTGGATAAGACATCTGCTACAGGATTACAATGCAAGCGACTTTGTCAAACGAAGATGTGTGGAGTTCAAGACATTGTCTTTATTCTTGTTGACTTGATGGGGACTGTGTTTACTAGAAATGATTATCCTAGGCAGGCAGGGTCAAATGGTGGCTGACAAATGCAAGGGAAAAGAGAAATGCATATGGTTGTTTTGAGCAAAGAAAGGGTGTTAAAATATATGCAACAACTTTCTAATAAATAACAATTCGTGGCACAAATAAACAAGATTAATCGATAAACAAGAAGCAAGGTCCATCGATACTGCTAACTACCTACCTCCCTATAGCTATATTAACACAAATTAAACCCAACTGCCAATTATGATAAGGCAGGGTTGTTGACACCCAGTGTTGAGAACATGAGGATTGTTTAAACCCGGTGTTGGTCAATTAGTTAGCTGGCTTATTGAGATCGAATGAATTAAATTCAACTAACTAAGTTAGTTTGCTAGCTTACTTGGCAGCCGCAGATACTCAATTTCTACAATTTCACTTTCGATTCACTCGACTATTCAAAACAATTCAAAGCTAAGAAACCAACTCTGGTTACCGGTAGCTACAGTACCTCATAACGTTAGCTAGATTGTATATACATCGGGTTAACGTTAGCTGGTCAGCTTCCTCGCCTCGGTTTCACGTTGAGAAAATAAACTTGCTAGCTAACACTAACGTTAACCCGAGTTGCTAACTAGCTCATTGAACCACACTGCTAGCGACCTAGGTAACTGTTGTGCGTAACTAGCTAGCACAATTAACTCCCTGCTAAATTAGTATTAAGCTAGCTACACAGTACGTAGCTAGTTAAAGTTTTTCTGAGACGATGTTCAAAAATGTTGAAGCGCGATTACCACCCAACTGATGACACAATACTGAATTGAATCTTAATTTATGATAACACATGGTTAACCCTGTTAATACATTTAGATTAACAAAACGTTTAATTCGAATCTAGCCTATTAATATGCCGGCGCTAACACGACCAAAAAACAACTGCTAGCTGGTTAGCTTAGCATACTAACGTCATTTTCTGCCTACCGAGTTTCATGAGGTTTCTGACAGTGTGGGGCTAAATGAAACAAATTTAACGACATATTTAATTGTATCTAACATTTGGGAGTCCGAATGTTTTACTTTCTTTAATCTAACAAGAGAAAATCCTAATTGGATTGATCAGGAAATGTACCTTGTGCAGCCTCCTGCTCGCCGCCATCGTGGAATTACTGTCTGTACCCAGAATACACAGCGATATCCAAACGTTCACTCTCACTCTACGCACTATTTCCGAATGAAAAACAACACTGTACTTACTATTTCTCACATGATTGAAATAGTAAAAGGGTATTCATATGAGGCAATATAACATCTGAAAACATACTGATAGCAGGTTGATGTTGAAATAAAAATATAAAATCATGGTACAAAATATGTAACAATGGTTTCAATGCTATGCCCCATTGTGAGCCTAATCAATAAAACATTCTGAAGCATACAAGAATGCCAGTGTGCTGGGGTTTCTTTTTCCAATTATTTTTATATGCACCAGGAACACTATAAGGTGTATACCAACCCCCTCACTGAATCAAACTTTTGCTTTAAAAGCTATTGAATAGTCTACTACCATGATATGGTATACTGTAGGTTCCATACCTGAATAAAGTTGCATGGCATGATTTAAACTGAAGTGGATGTTATTCAAGTGTATACTATGTCCTCTAGAGGGAATACTAGTCAATTTAGAATCCCTTGCAGCCTCTAGAGAACACACACACACAGAGGGTTGGGGAGTAACTGATTACATGTAATCCGTTTAATAAAAAAAAAAACTGTCATGAGTTATGTTACCAGCAAAACTATTGTATCAGATTACAAACACTTTTGAAAAGCTAGATGATTACTTATTGGATTACTTTTAAATTCAGAAAGGATTTTTGCAGAAAAAAATACATTATGACACCTTTCTGTTTTCTCAATGACATTCAATTCAGCATTGGAAAAAGGTGCACTCCCGAGTGGCGCAGTGGTCTAAGGCACTGCATCACAGTGCTAGCTGTGCCACTAGATATCCTGGTTCGAATCCAGGCTCTGTCGTAGCCGGCCGCGACCGGGAGACCCATGGGGCGGCGCACAATTGGCCCAGCGTCGTCCAGGGTAGGGGAGGGAATGGCCAGCAGGGGATGTAGCTCAGTTGGTAGAGCATGGTGTTTGCAACGCCAGGGTTGTGGGTTCGATAAAATAATGTATGTGCTAACTGTAAGTCGCTCTGGATAAGAGCGTCTGCTAAATGACTAAAATGTAAATGTAAGTTTGCTCCATCTGAGCAAGTCTGACCACAATTCAGAGACCACTATGATGACACACTAAATGTGTTTGATGGATCTTTTTTGTCTTCTTCTAATGCTTCTTATGGGTAAAGTAATCCAAAAGTAACTGAAAGTAATCAGATTACATTACTGAGTTTGGGTAATCCAAAAGTTATGTTACTGATGACAATTTTGGACAGGTAACTAGTAACTGTAACAGGAACGTTTTTCTTGGTAAGCCCTTCTCATGTAACAGATTACATTTAGAAAGTAACCTACCCAACCCTGCACACACACACAGTGCATGACAGTAGTTAAAGATTAAGTGGCACCGTCTCCTCTTTTCACATCGTCTTCTTGTGACCCACTGTTCATAGGGATAGGTGGAGAGAGGCTTCCAGGTTTTACAGATCAGAGCATATGAGAAAGAGGATACAAGCAGAGAAAGCTACTATTGCGATGCACCCCTTGTCTAGTTCATCAGCCTGCCTCTAAAAGTCCATACCTGGATTGCTGACTGACTGCTGCATGGGAAGCAGGTGAGTCTGATAACAAAATAACACAGTACTGAATTTCCCACTCATATTTGCTCTGTTTATAACACTGTTATAATGCAGTAAGAAATGAGTTACAATGAGTAGCCTATTTATTTTATCTTTCTGCTCCTTGTCACTTGTATACGCATTACAGTTGAACTCATAAGCAGAATCTATTTATTATTTATTAACAATGGCTTTTAAACCACAACCATGATTTATTAACCCTGTTAATTTCTTGTCAAAATGTTTCTTTAAAAATAATGTTTTTGAGAGATTCATATTTAATAGAGGTCCACTAATTTGGGTGCTCTTTTTATCTCACACTAAATGATGTAATATTGGCAATCTAATCATTATAGGCATACTCATAATCAATAAGACATGTCAAGGATGAAATTATACTGAGCCTTCATGTCAGCAAGGTGTAAGACATGAAATAATTCACTCCTTTCTCTGACAGAGACATGATGTAACCCAGTGGTTCCCAACCTTTTTCGGTTAATGTACCACAAAGTACATTTTGCTCTGCCCGGAGTACCCCTGAAGTTCCCCCTCATGTGCATTTTACCAGTAAGCCTATGGTCTCATGATAGTCCTAGTACCCCTGGTTGGGAAACACTGATGTAACCTATAATCAGCCTGCACCACATCCTCTTATCACCAGTGCGTTTTCTCATCAAGGAGCTGTGCTTGACTTAGACTGAAATAGGTGCCGGTACTCGTTTTGGGTGCCGGTACTGTTTACATTTAGGTGCAGGAGCTCCACAATACTTTTGAGCTAATATTCTATAAGAGGCACAGGAGCTAAAACAGTAGAACATTTGAGGTGCCGGTACTCAGCTCCGGTGAGCACCTGCCCAAGTCAAGCACCCTCAAGGAGAGTCTGTTTCAAGGATATTTTAGTTTGTACAATGCCCAGGGGCAGGGGCCCATACATACAGTGTGGCAGAGGCAGTTGTTATCTTTGTGGATTCTGGTCAACTGATCCTGCTTGTATCCTGGTTGTTCAGGTTGAACTGACACACAAAACGTTTTCCCCTGGGCACTTCTGCTCATCAGCGGCTGGTCTGGCAGGGTTGAGGAGAGGCTTTTCTCCACTCTCCCCTTTCAGATTGCTTTTATTTAAATTTCGGTCAAGGGGTTAGGATTCTCATTACCATTCTCCTGGCAGCAGGATATTATGCTGGCAACACACTCACAGATTGTTTTATGTCAAAGTAAGAGTCCCCCTACAAAGAAATGCTAATCTTTGTGAATATAAAAAAAAATGTTGCACTCTAGTGCAGTACAACAGTTTTTCACAGCAATGCAACGATCTTTAAAAAAATACATGGATAATTTGACATACTTTTATTTTTAATATTGTATTATTTTTAACAGCATTTCTTTAGAAAGTTTACACCAATACTGGTATGTTGAAAGCTATTGTGTAGGCTACATGTATATGTAAAGAAATACACTTGTAATAAAATACAAATATATTTAGGCAATGAGGCCCTTTGTCTACTTCCCCAGAAGTAGTTTTGCGAGCCAATGCTAACTAACATTAGGGCTAACTAACACTGGAGGTCTATGGGTATCTGCTAGCATGCTAGCAGATACCCATAGACTTCCAACTTTTTTCAAGCTGCACACAGAGACATAAAAATGATACCCACAAGTTCATCTGACTCTGGAGGAGTAGATAAAGGGCCTCATTGCCAATATCCCAAAGAATCCCTTTAAACATTCTGTCAGATTCTGGGTTAGCCAAAGTAAATTAGCTAGCTAGTTATCAACTTAGCCATTTCATTTGCACTTGACCTCAAAACAATTTCAATAGCAGAATTATATCTGAGAAATACCTATCTTACTCGAGAATAAGATATAATATTATAAACACAGAAGGTAATTCAAGTGCAACTTAACTCTGATCGCGTCTGGCTAAGAACAAACAAAAATATCCTCAGGAGTGAAGACGTGCGCTTCACTTCAAGAGCCGTGGTGGAGATACGGGGTTTGAGAGCCAATGGACTTAAGACTTTGACAACAAGGTATTTTGAATAGATTTCATTGGTCAAGGGGTCGTGAAAAGTTCTTACAGACGTAAAGTGGAACCAATAGTATCGATTCATGAAAGAAAGAAAAAAACATGAAAATACTACATTTGGAGTGATGAGGTTTTCATCTGACAGCAATGATATAATATACATCTATGTAACTGAAGTGATTTGGTAAAATGTAACGGAGTAAAAAGTATGTTACTTGAGTAAGAGTACAAGTAGGTGTTGCTGTTTATATTCAGAACCACATTCCTGTGAAGATTAGAGAGGATCTCATGTTAAATACTGTTGAAGTAATATGGCTACAGGTTCATCTGCCTCACCTAAAGCCAATTCTGGTGGGAAGCTGCTATAGACCACCAAGTGCTAACAGTCAGTATCTGGATAACATGTGTGAAATGCTTGATAATGTATGTGATATCAATAGAGAGGTATACTTTCTGGGTGATTTAAATATTGACTGGCTTTCATCAGGCTGCCCACTCAAGAGAAAGCTTCAAACTGTAACCAGTGCCTGCAACCTGGTTCCGGTTATCAGTCAACCTACCAGGGTAGTTACAAACAGTACAGGAATTAAATCATCAACATGTATTGATCATATCTTTACTAATGCTGCAGAGATTTGTTTGAAAGCAGCATCCAAATCCAGTGGATGTAGTGATCACAATATAGTAGCCATATCTAGGAAAACCAAAGTTCCAAAGGCTGGGCCTAATATTGTGTATAAGAGGTCATACAATACGTTTTGTAGTGATTCCTATGTTGTTGATGTAAAGAATATATGTTGGTCCATGGTGTGTAATGAGGAGCAGACAGACACTGCACTTGACGCATTTATGAAATTGCTTATTCCAGTTACTAATAAGCATGCACCCATTAAGAAAATGACCGTAAAAACTGTTAAATCCCTGTGGATTGATGAGGAATTGAAAAATTGTATGGTTGAGAGGGATGAGGCAAAAGGAAAGGCAAATAAGTCTGGCTGCACAACCGATTGGCAAACTGAATAAAAAGAAGAAGAAACAACAATATGAAACAAGGATAAATGACAAAGAATGATAGTAAAAAGCTTTGGAGCACCTTTGTCACGGACGTTGAAGGACGGGTCAGACTAAGGCGCAGCGTGAAATGCATACATGTTTATTATATAAACTAAACACACGAACAAAACAACGTAACGTGAAGTCCTCAGGCTAAACACAATACAAGCCTATACACGGAACAAGATCCCACAACTAATGATCGCAAACAGGCTACTTAAGTATGAGCCCCAATCAGAGACAACAAGCGACAGCTGCCTCTGATTGGGAATCACACCCGGCCAAACAT